CTCACATCGACGACCATTGTAATCAGCATATGAAGGACCTTTCAAAGTCCTTCAACGTGAATCTAAGTACTATATAATCGATAAGAACGGAACAAACGATAGCATCAGCATCGATCGCTTAAAAGCAGCGTATTTAGAAGGAAATCCTATTCACGTCGAATTTCCTTCGGTATAATCGCATCATAAGACTCCTACGCTTAAAGTACCTCAACCGACAGGCAACACACCCGATAATACTTCAATAGTATCAGAAAATAAACTTAGGGCGACGCGTTCTGGAAGAAGAGTAAGATTTCCAGAACATTTAAACGATTATTGCATGTAAGACACTTTTTGACATTCTATATTATCTCGAATTTTTTTACCATATGTAATATTCTGTAAAAAAACAATTTTAATATGCTTATATATTTTTATTTCAAAAAATACAAACAAAAAAACATTATAAAAACCCTTTTTTAACAATATTACGTGTATATGAGTTTATTTTCCTTTTTTTCGCCGACATTGTGTTTTTGAGCGCGTACGAGTGTATTTCAATATGCACTTCTATTTCCTTCTTTCTTTTCCAGGACGGCTGGAAACGAACGGTGAAGTGTACAAGGAGCCGAAAATTTCATTTACTTTTTCTTTTTTTACTATACTGTACTTCATGGTCCTATATGGTAGAGAAAGACGACCAGACGCTGCCAAACCTAACAAGCTATCAGAAGAGTGCTTACCAACGACAAACCCGTTGGGTTTAAACTTCTGGCTGGCCACGTCTTAGGGTCATCACTACCCCACTAGGGGGGGTGATCTGTAGCGGTAAATAAATCCCCAAAATAAATAGCTCTGTAAGTTTTCGACATTGGATGCTGACCAGGTTAGTTTTAGTGGACTCACCAAGCTGAAGGCGCTCGGCCATGTATCTCATCCAGATCACGTGTGAGAACGCCATGCTCAACATCTACTGCATTCGCTAGCCAGACTAGACCAGACAATTCCGATATACTGGAAATCGCCAAATACAACTTCCGATCTCCTGGATTCTGTCTTTTGATTTCTCTTGGTGGGTACGAGTTATATTAGGTGTAACTGGTAAAAGCGATTGGTTTATTGAAAACAATTATTATTATAACCAATTGTACCAGTGACTGTTTCAATATGCTTTTGTTTAACTGTGCTAAAAGCATCCATTATTCTTACACTGTGATTGTGAACTCGCGCGGATTCGGTTACGTTCTGCAACCAAGCTTCTATCCTGGCACGATCTCGGTATCCTTTGGATATCACGAGATCGCCAGCAAATATAACTCATTTTGGTCCATTAAATGCCTTCTGATATTTGGCTTCCCCGGGGATTTCATGGATATCCTGGCACACGCCCCTTGGTAGCGGTGTTCATAGTCAATTTCGATTCGACACCACGCTATAATCTCACTGTATGTATGCCTATCACTACCTCTTTACATCCCACAGAAATGAATGAGTTTCTGTGTCGTGTTGATTGTTGGTCTCTTGGTAATTGTCTCATACTTAATCCATCTAAATGTCAAGCTCTTAACTTTAGCATGAGACATGAGCGGAATCTAAACACCATTTTGAGATCCCATAATGCTTATACCATTGGAGACTCTTTGATAAACACAGTGTCGAAGGTCGATTATCTTGGTGTTACCTTTTCCTTTGATCTCTCTTGGTCTTCCAACGTTTTATTGCTATCGAAGAAAGTTTTCCGCCTGACTTACTACATTAAGACATTGCATGCTTTTGGGATTACTCGTCAGTTACTCTTACAATTTGTCAATTATTGCATATTACTTATTATTCTTTGTTGTTCTCCATTACCCTTTCCCAGGCTTTTGAGAAAAGACTTTGCTGCATTGCGGAGAGTACTGGAGGCAGTTAGCAAGATGTGTGGTGAATCTTTCGAAGTTATAGTTAATATGATTGTGGATAGACATCTATAGTCATGCAAACTCTTGGCAGGTGCTACTTTATCAGATACTTGTAGAATTATGGTCTATTGTGATATTAGTACTGCTCTAATAATAGACCTAATCCCAAAATTGTAGATTTGTCATGATATAACTGCATAATTATAAGATCTTACGTGGAAGTCACATCATCGTCTACGCCACCTCACTGTATCGTATCAATTACCAATACATGATGTAGAAAAAGGTTAGACTAGAGAAAGAACAATATATTTAATTTGAATAGAAGATATAAGGTGAGATTTAGAGGAACCACACATGCATGGCTGGGCCATGCCATCTGATCAACTCCAATTAATTCAATTGCTTGTGCGCGACTTCTCCATCGCTAGGTATTTCTCTGTGTTAAATATTAAATATCTATTATCCGAGTGGTCCCGTATTCAGCTTTCAGGATTGTGTGGTTATGGTCCAATGCCACTACGTACTAACCATCCTACTCACTCTTATCTTTCTCCTTGTATATCTTCTGTTAAAACGAGACGTAATTACATAAAAATCCATGCACGCAAGCAAAAGTTTAAAAGTTCTATGATACCTTACCTAGCAAATATACTCTGTAACGAACAGGTTCATAGAGTTAACCTAGTCAATAACCTGCATTTTTAACATGTCTCTAATTCGAAAACTTGTACAGTTTTTCGGTTTTTTTAAAAACCTTTACTTTGTATTCGTTACTGTTTTTTGCGTAGGTAACTTGTAGAAATACCTTGTTCTGAGAATTCTATATTGAACCAAAATATAATACTGAATAAAGCCGTTAATAATAATGATCATAATAATCGATTGTTATTTATTCTTATAGTGAAGTCACTTCTAATGAATCTCCTAGTTAATGTGAGAAATATGTTTTGAATGACGTCACATTACTTATAACTTAGGCGTGTGAAAACATTATTTCTTGCAGGAGAATAGTGTGAGAAAATCTATAGTTCAAATTCTAGTACATAATCGACATACTGATCATATACAATTTCAGGATTCCGGTGAGTCCGTTCCAATTTCAACTGTTAATTCTAATACTAATAGGCATATTCCAGACCATACAGAGTCTATATCCAATACACAGTCTCGCAGACATACGATGAACCTAAGGAGATGACGTTCAATTAATTACGAGAACTTAGATTCCAATTTAAGCTGTGGCCGTTGCACTGTTCTTATAGACTAATGATTCATTTGTATTTAATGACTGCCTGATTTCGAATTACGAATACAATACGTTCGTTTGTGCTCCTCTAGTTCTGTGTGAGGTGAATCGCGTTATTTCAGGGATTCCTAGTTCGTATAGTAATCCAAATACTTCTAATCATCGCATTGGTTCAACAGTATGTAGTGACCTACTTTTGTCAGGAGAACGTAATTGGTGTTGTAGAAACAATATTGTTATAAACAATTGTACCGGGATTGTTTTGCCGTACCTGTTTGTTTAACTGTACCAAAAACACATACATTCTCCCGTTGATCGTGACCCTGAGTGAATTCGGTTACGCTCAGTAACCACACCTGTATTCTTTCGATACCAGGAGATCGTCAGCAAATACATCTCGACTACAGCCATCAACTGCCTTCCGATATTCGACGTACGAGGGATCTTATCGGTTAACTGGCACGTGGTCTTCCGGTTGTGGTGACCATAGTCAACCTGACTCGACGCCATACTACAAGTACTTGCTTTCTTCATAGCTGTTATCTTTCTGAAGTCTAGATATTTGCATCTACACTATATGCGAATTGGCAAATAGACATTCAAATCAATAAATTGGAAATTAGTCCAGACATTAAATTTCATGATGTTCGAAACCGTACATCATTACCTAACCCACTGGGGCATGTGCAGTAGAATGTCTAGATAACCTTCTCTGGACCTCACAAATACTTAAAACTGTTCCGTGACACCTAAGATCGGGAGTAAAGGATTTATCATGTTCTTATTGTCGTTTCATAACAGTGTTGATTGCTGTGCATGACGGTTTGACACCTAGTCAACCCAACACGAGCAACTAACTTGAACATCAGCGCCATCAAAGAATTTCATAGCAAACAACAAAAGCTAGGTAAGCTCTCAATGAAAGTTTTCTCTGTTTGGAATGTTCTTCCAGCCGAAGTGACCACAACGCACTCAGAGGATGGCTTCAGGAGGAGACTTCAGAACCTCATATTCTCGCTCTTTGATTAAATGAGCCTTCTGCTATCACCTAAACTATTTACTGTTATCATTATCACATCTTATAAACATATTCCTTCATCGCTCAATGTTAACTCTGCTTCTCTTTTACTTTTGTAGGGCCAGTGGAATGTCATTAAGCCCTAGCCAAGTCATTCGGCTGTTGGGTAACTGAATATCGAACAGACCATCAATCCCTGCCAAGGTCAACGGCAACCAATGCGCATCAGTTAATCATATGCCATGGACTGGCCCATGCAGCGGTAGTCCTACCACCTTCTGTGTACTCATTCTCACTCATACTTCCGTAGTAACTTTCTTTGTATTATACGGTCTTCAAAGCGGCTATCGTACTTTAATAGGTCGAAGGAGCAAACCACGTTAGATGCCGACTGCGAGGTGTGATTTCGAAGTCACCTGGTTCGTCACACCATTCCCGTCTAAGTTCAGTAACCTCTCTGATCATTCGACGTAGATCATCAACATTGATGACCTACACTGTAATACTCTAGCTTTCGCACACTATCTTCATTACCAATTAACTAACACGTTTACTGCCTGTTTCTTGAAGACCTGGTTAGTTCCTAGCATCCGAATTTCCGAGTCATTATTTTTCACATTACAACCAAACAACCCCCTGCCTGATAACGTGAAAGGTGCTGTTATTTAGAAACCCTACTGTTCCGAGACAAACGCATTCACTCAAACTACAAGATCTGTAAACCCACAAATAACTAATAAACTGACTAGAATTAGTGCAATCGAGTAACCAGACTACCGCCTATTAAAAGTTATTAAAAACTTGGAAGCGTATATAATCAACAAGAAGTGAGTTCAAAGACACCAGTCGGTATGCACAACTTCCTCTCCAAGATATTGGATACTGGAAGGCAGTTCGGCGTTCTTTCAAATCTCAAGGACGGCATGCAAACTTTTTGATAAATTTAGGTCATCTTCTTATCAACTGCTTTTCATATGGACACAGTATGTTACAGGTCTCGTTTTTCCATAGGTTATTCATAGAAAAAACTTCCCGAGAGGTTCTTCAGGAAGAAGGCAGAGGCCTTCAACCGAAAGGTTAAATATGCTAAACAAAGTGTCACTCAGGTAGCGGCACTACACAATGTATTGCCTGGGTACGTTGCGTTTCTCTTCTTTATGGCACTTAGCTATCTTGAGAAGGAAGATGAAAATGAGATAATCACTCAAGATGCTATGTTGAAAGAAGTTGATATTGGTTCCGCAACTAAGGTAAAATACTATAAGCTTTAGGCGAATATGAAAACTAGCGTTTTGATGTTAAACTACAGTATGGACCGTATGCGATTGATTATTCACGAAACGGCAGGTAAATTGGCTGCCAAACGCTTGTAAAAAAGACAGATTTTTAGCCCTGTGTGGTAAATCAGGACACATAGCGGCATTCGACTGGATGGTGAAGAAGCTTCTTTTTGAGATCACTGTCTCTAACGAATGCAAGGATGTTAAGTAAAAAAATTAATTGATAATCTTTTAGGTTTCTTCACCAAGAAACGTTCGTTGCCGTTGCAGAGAAGAGATATGTTTCCATATATGACAATCAAGGCTTAGAAGTACATTGCTTGAAAAAACTGAGTGGGATATTACGAATGGAATTTCTCCCGTATCATTTCCTTCTGGTGTCTTCCGTAGGTTTTTGCACTGGAGCTTTTATTTCAGGCTGACAATGGATTTCTTTATTACCTAGACTGTTCTATTGGTACGATTGTCGCTTCAATACCTACATATATGGGGCGCCTTGGTGTTATGTGTCAAAACCCTTCTAACGGAGTTATTTGCACAGGACACAACGATGGTGTTGTATCTATGTGGGTACCTTCAGAGAAGTCATACGTTATCAAAATGTTCGCCCACCCAACTGCCATTACTTCGATTGCTTGCGACCAAACTGGAAGGTTAGCTTTTATGATAAATTCACAACTTTTGATAGATTCCGAATCCATACCCAATTGAATCTTTCCTCATATATATGACTGGACATTAATTCTTAGTTCATTCAAAGCTGATTACGTTTCGTTCGCTTGATAATTATAATTGCTGGTATGAGAGCAGTTTGTAATCTTGGTATATACTGTCTTGAATCGTGATAGTAGGTATAAAGTGATGCGTTATGTGAGTCAAAGTAAGCTATAGTAATTAGGAGTATTCGACCTAATGTACTAACTAGGAGTTTCCGAAAGAGTGCAATTTACAACAGCCTGTTTTTTCAATTCAAGGATAAATCCTCTAATTTTTTGGTTGTTCTGTCGAATCATGTTATTAAATTTTGCTTTCACAACACTCGGAATTTGTACAATTTGCATGATTTAGTGGTAGCCCTTTGAGAGTTGCGTAGGGAAGTGAAATAAGCTTGTCTGAGAATGCCAAAAGTTTTAGTAAGCTGCAGACATCCTTTCCGATGAATGTAGGGAAATGAGCTGCAACTTCATCATTCTTAACACCGTTTCTGATCATTGTCCAGATTTCAAACCTCTCCATGTAATTTTCAAAAGTCCCAGAATTTGAGTGTCGAACTGTTCCTTCAAATGCCCTGGTACGGCCGAGAGTAGGAAGAAGCAGCTCTCACTCTCGAAATGCTCTCTCATGGTCACTTGCATACAACTTTTGCCAGGGACGTCCAACTAACTGCCTTCTCGCAGCATTACTGTTGCTTACGAAATCGAGAGGATGAAAAGCGAATGTCCGATCTCTAGTTCTACTACAGAAAGTGCATTCGACAGATATTGTGTTACTAGCCGGATACTTGAATGCTCAGGTCGGGCATCTAGGCACCGAAGAAAGTCGTTTAAGTGGCCGATGGGGACTTGTTGGTTGCAGGTCAGATAACGGAAACCGTCTACTGCAACTGTGCGCAGACCACGACCTGTTTCCGTCTAGCACTAACTACCGCACAGTCATCACCGATGTGCCATCTGGAGCCCTCTGCATCTCAGGCCTGGACTCAGATTGATCATATCGCGATCAGCTACCGCTGGCGTGGTTGTGTACAAGACTGCCGCTCCTTTTGCAGTACCTATTTGGACCCTGATCATGCACTTGTTTGCGCCAGTCTTACCTTGCTTTTCAGTGGCCAACAAATTCATCGTCCTAAACTGATTGATGTAAGTAAATTAGTTGCAGCTTCTGTTACAGCTAAATATCAAACCGAGTCAGGTTCAAGACTAGCTAAAATCCCACTGAAAAGTATAGATGAGCATTGGTTGCAATTGCACGATGCCATGAAAATGGCGAGTAAAGTCGCATGCGGCTTCGCGAAACGTCTCGCTTATAAGCACTGGGTTTCTTCTGGCTCCTTACAACTCATTGAAACCCGTCGGTCTACTCCGGGTGGCCGTGAGTTTGACCATAAGCGACGACTGTTACGTAATGAGATTAGGTAAAGCTTGCGTAAGGACCGAGAAGCCTGGTTGTCGGAGCGCACTAATGAGTTGCAAGCAGAAACCGCACCTGGTAACTGCCGGAAGCTCTTTCAACTCATCCGAGCCACTCGCAGCACGAAGTCTGGTGTGAGCGAAACAATCTGTGAAGATGACGGGATGCCGGTCACTAACGTAACATCAAATGACGTCTTGGACGATGGGCAGAGTTTTTCGAGGAGCAGTTCAACTGGTCTGCTGCCCCAGTAACATCGATCACACTGTCCTGCCCTCCATGGCCCGTAACGTCTGATCCATCAAATGAGGCGGAAGTTCGCAAAGAACTCTAACCCTTGAAATGCTACAAATCACTAGATCCAGATGACTTACCTCCGGCCCTTTTTAAAGATGATGGTGACTTTCTAGTTAAGGAACTGTCTGAGTTTTTCACAGAGGTTTGGCAGTTAGACAGTGTACCAACGTCATGGAATGAGTCGATAATCGTCCTTGTCTTTAAAAAAGGTTCACATCATCTATGCAAGAACTATCGGGGGATAAGTGTACTTCCGATCGCGTCCAAACTTTTGGCTTCCGTCATTCTTGGTAGATTGTTCAAAACCCGAGAAAGATTGACTAACAAGAAGCAGGCTGGTTTTCGTTCTGGTCGAGCATGTATTGATCATATATTCACCCTCCACCAAATGTTAGAACACCGTCATACTTATCACAGGCCAATAATCGTAGTGTTTCTTGACATAAGGTTTGCCTTCGATTCGTTGGACCGGATTGTTCTCTGGAATTGTCTATTGAAGAAGGGTGTGTCTGAGTAGTTTATTAACATCTTAAAAGCCCTATATACAAACACCTCAGGCAGAGTGAAGGCACATAATCACCTCTCTCCATTCAATCAATGGGGCTAGGCAGGGTTGGCCAATCTCACCATTCATCTTCAACTTTGCTATCGACGACGTTCTGGAAACAGCTTTGATGTGTTGTGTGGATCTGTTGCCTAGAGAAAGACTTCTCGACCTTGAGTATGCGGATGATATTGTCCGTAGGTATGGTATGTGCTTTGCACCTTCTAAGTGGAAAGTACTTTTACAAGACTGGTAGGACCCTGATACTGCACTCACTCTGGGTAGTTAGCATATAGAAGTAGTCGAGAAGTTCGTGTATTTGGGTAGCCGTATAAGTGCTGGTGGTGGCATGAGTGATGAGATCAATGCACGTATAGTTAAAGCCAGAGCGGCTTATGTCAATCTGGGCCATCTTTGGCGCCTTCCTGATGCTAGTTGGTGAGAGCGGTTTTGCTCTATGCTTGTGAAACCTGGCCTCTTCGAGTTGAGGATGTTAGACGACTCTCTGTGTTTAATCATCATTGTCTCCGAAGGATTGCTGACATCCAGTGGTAGCACCATGTTAGTAATGCAGAGGTTCGGCATCGTGTGTTCGGGAACAGAGACGATAATTCAATTGGTGTCACCATCTTGAAACATCGACTGCGGTGGCTTGGACATGTTCTACGAATGTCGTCCTAGAGAATTCCACGTCGTGCATTATTTGCTGACGCTGGGACTGGTTGGAAAGAGCGGAGAAGTGGTCAGTGTATGTTGTCGCGGTATGAAAGAAAGCGGTACAGGACTGGCTTCTATCAGTTCTTGATGACCCCCTGGTGGGGACTTAAAGATGGTGCAACACAGTGGATAGAGGCGTTATCAAATATGGCTCAGAATGGAAGCCAGTGGCGATCATGCTGTAACTTTATTTACTTCCTTCATAAAAAAATACGTAACTTCTTTAAGTGGCAGAATTCTCTGTGACTGTACTTTTACTGATTGAGCTGTCTCTCACATTATTATTATTATTATTATTTCACTCTCATGCACTAATTCCTATTCGTTATTGTCCCCCTTTTTCTTATACGCACCTTACATTCGTTATATCTTCATTCTCATTATTATTATCATTATGTGGCGCATATATATATGTATATATATTGTGCCTCTTTGTACCAATATTTATGTGTTCAGTCAATCTCACTGCCAATACTGGACCTCCATCCTTATAAATCTTAGGGGTAAACCTGTCAGGGCCTGCTGTTCTCCCACGCTTCAGATTTCCTATAGCTTTTTAAACTTCGTAAAGAGTTGGAGAACTCGCCATTCAGGTCGACTGGAGATCTTGGGAAACTGAAATGTGGCTGAAGGCCAGTTGAACTGATCCCTAAAGTGTTCTGCCCATCGATCCAATCTCCTGGATTGAGAGTGAATAATATGTCCATCTTTTTCCAAGATAGTTTCGCTAACAGTTGGATTCTTAACACCGGTTTCCTTGACAAGTCTGAATAGTTGTCTGCTGTTGTCTATTGCCCACCACTGTTCGCGATCATTGCGTAGGCTTCTTATCAGCCTGCGCTTAAGCTGACTCCGCTCTTCGTCATGTTCAGAGCCAGATGGGACGAGTTTTCGAGCATCTTTCAGTGCGGTGGATGCTGCTGAGATCCCGTGTTTCTCCCTAACCTTATGGTTTACCTTACTAGCAGATATCAGTGTTGTTCCCACAGCTTTCCGGATATCGTTCCGCGCTGCCTCGGGACGGGCATTACTCACATGGCTGCCTAACTTTTCCTAGTTGTTCCTGAAATATATTCCTAGCTTGGCTATCATTAAGTAGGACCCTAAGAGGTTTCCTTGCAGTGTCTTTCCTACGTTCAGTAAGACGCAGACAAATACGCGCTCGCACTAGAACATGATCTGAATCCAATCATGTGTTCCAGAACGACCGACAGTCTTCTATCGAGCTTCTTCATCGGTGTCTGATGGCGGTGTGATCAGGGGTTGCCATGCTTAAAGGTGTTTTTCCCTATGCTAATAGCTAGTATTTGCAAGAAACAGGCGGTTATCTGAGCATAGCTGCAACAGACGGTCGCCATTATCTGTTCTTTGAGTCACGACACCATAAGGTTCACCCAGGTGTCTTTCCTTTTCGCTTAGTTTACCTACTTGAGCATTAAAGTTACCAGCCACTATTACTGCATCGGAGCGCCTAACTTTTTGGAGGTCGGAAAGCTTTCTGTACAGCTCATCTTTTACATCATCTGAGCTGCAGTCAGTGGGAGAGTAGGCAGAGACAACGAGTGTCCTTACTTTTCCGAGTCCTAACTGTTCCGTTTAGTCGGACAGTACATAAACGACTGTCTACTGAGATCCATCTAAGAGAGCTAGTTCTACCCTAGGACTCAATGCTATACCTACGCCAGCGAGGCCACGGGAAGCAGCATCGGGGCTTCGAGATACATGAAGTGTGAATCGAGATGATTCTTTATTTTGATATGGTGAGGTCAAATTAACGACGCTACTCTGGTTCTGTATAAGCGTTACGGAGACGTAGTACACATCGGTGGCGCGAGATTTAAAAATCCTAGCTAAGGAAGCCTGTTGTCCTATTTGGCACAGTGTTCGGACTTTAAAATCTCCTACATGTAGTTTAGAACGTAGTTTCAGAAGACCAGGAATAACGTTCCGCGTACTCGAATCGTTTTCACTAGCGGTGCGGGATGATAAAGTAACGTGAGAAGGGTTGGCGGTGGAGATGATAGAGTTATTAGGAGGTGTAGGAAGGATTTGATTGTGACCAACTTGGCCTCGTCTGCTGTTAGGGGTATGAGGGCTCATGTCACTTCCCGGCTGCCCACACCGTAGAAGGGTACTTCTTAAGGAACCACCTTAAAGGGAAGTTGGATTAGTGTTGGTCTTAACGACCTGGGAGCGTGACCACAGAGCCCAAGGGACAACTGCTTGAGGCCGGTCAATCACGGCCTTTTTGTGGGAGGTTTTTAGCGTGTTAGCTCCATTCCTCAAAAGGCCTTACCAGCGGAGACGGAAATCCATGAAGTAAGGTGAGGTGTGACATATTTAGAGTCGACCTTTTCTAACCCCTTCCTTCCCTGTGAGAAAGCAGCATCGCTGCAGATGCTGGTTGCCCAAGGGAAACACCTTACTGCAATTTACAGCAAGTAGGAATAGATGAGCACAAAGAACGTATTATATTTAGAATTCGTAATCAGCTGGCCGTCAAGTACAAAGGAATCATTAGTTCGTACAAATACCTCATAATCTTAATAAACGATCAAGTTTTCAACAGTAAAGCATAATATTGGCATCTGTTTTTTAGGTTTGGTTGATTGTTTTGTGGATAAATTTAGACGATCTCAGCCTTAACACCTGACCAGTTTAAAACAGGGTGTTTTATGGGTACCGCTTTTGATGAAGATCAATTTTTGGTTGCCTAACTTATTGTAGTAATTATCCTTATACATTGCTGTTATTGTCAAAAGCTATGTATGTTGTAATGTGTAGCAGAGTTACCTTTTCTGAAGGTAAAATTCAAAACATTTGTGTTGCAAAGACCGGTTGATTTTATTCCGAACGGCATACCACCCTGATTAGCGTTTTCGTATCAAGCTTATCTTTCTAATTTACCATCGTTAGTGCCAGTGGTAGAGGAATTCAACGAACTAATACTATTTTTCTCAGCTATAGAGATCCGTAGTGCGTTTTTTTATTTTTATGCTGATCTAGAAACCGCTATGAATCCTACGTTTGTTGTTCAAGCTTTGTTTGAACAGTCTTTAATTAAAAGTTAGATTGGTGAAACCACTCACTTAGCCTTAGCCAAATCACTTTCGTGTAGTTTAAAATTGACTGGTTATGAATTACCGTTTTTCTACAAAGTATTTCAACAACCGGTGTTCCTCTAAACTACATTTTTCTCACTATTTGAACGATGTATTTGCTCATAGCTTATTCTTTCTTCACATCCATCTTTCCAGCTACTTGGCAACCTGTGGAGTTGACCGAAAACTAAAGATTTGGGACTTGAGGTCCACTTATGATCCTCTTTCCGAAATCTTGCTGCCTATGTCTGCTTCAACAATTAATTTCAGTCAGAAAGGTTTATTAGCATTGGGTGCTGCTAATACCGTACAGGTATGATATTTCTGGTTATGATTTAGTTTAGTACTTAACTTATCGCATCAAGTGGTTGTTTCTCCATATACCATACCATACTGCAAAATACCTACTTTCATTGTTTTCATTCGTTTGTCATGGTTATACTCTTGGGGATAACAATTTCTTCTGATCGCTCTCTTGCCTAGAACCTTGTATGAAGACGTCTCCTTGTCTGGTAAAAACTAACGAAATATAATCTGAACAAAGCACTGTGTGACAGTACAGGAGTTTGTAGGTTGCGATCTTCCCCTTCCAAAAATTAGGGTCGCATCTGGATTATACGGTATCATTTCCCAGTCAAACAGAAGAGAGTAAGCAAGTAGTGGGCATTGAACACCACACACGTCTACCTTTTGTTACTTCGAAGTTATAAAACTTGTGTAGGTTGTAATTATTTGGTCATACATGTCTTAGAATCATTGCTCACGTAAACCGGAACCATGTAGGAGCAAACCGCCCATGAAATAATATCAGTCTATGAGGTTATGACTTTAGATCCTAACGTAGTCGGGATGTGCGGAGTCGTTAAGTAAAGTTCACGAGATAATTATGGCATGCAGTTGGAACTCTTTTGGGTATTGATGCAGGTACGTGGATTAAGCTTTTGTTTAAATCTCGGGCTCGTTTTTATTTTTAATTTCCTGAAGTTGTTCCTTTTGTCTATATGAAAGAGTGTATAAAACTGGAACTAATGGCTAACGACCGTATATCTAGTTTGTGATTGCCTGTTATTAAGCCGTGACAAAAGACAAAATATTTATTGTTACGATTAGATATGGCCAACGTAGTGCTTTGAAAAGAGGAATAAATCTACTGTTATAAAATTAAGTTATCCTTAGTAATATTTACCGTGAGTAGATGGTTGTGTTTTATTTTATTCCCCATTTCACATAAGCCCACGATGATTTCAGTATTGCCTGTGAGGAAGTATTATGATCTATAAAATAAGGATTTATCTTTGTGAATCTTAGGTAGTATATATGTATTTCTTTTGTCTAATTTCTGCGTGAATCGCTTTTTACTTTTAAAAGATTTTACGTGACCCCCATTCCATTCCACCGTCCAATGCATCAAAAATCTTTGAAACCATTTCACCTAATGTTAACCGACGAGTAATTTCGAATGCTTATCTTTCTCACTATGCGGTTCATCCAGTTTATCGTGTACGCTTTTGTCCTTATGAAGACGTTTTAGGAGTAGGTAGTTCCGCTGGGATTTCATCCATTCTTTGCCCTGGGAGTGCCGAACCTAATTATGATGGTTTAGAAGAAAATCCTTTTGCCAATAAACGTTATAGGCAAGAAAGAGAAGTTAAACGACTTTTGGATAAGGTAATATTGTTCACGTGTTTTCATATCTACTTGTTAGTTTCGTTAATAGTTCTATGTTTTTCTCAAGTATATTCTTCATTGATGTGTGTTCATAAACTTTGTTTCAATGTAATTTCTTAATATTAAAAACTGGTTTTGGAATTTTAATTCAGTTAGACTTTAGTTGTAAATATGTTCGGTTCCATTGAATTAAATAAATTCTGTGAATACATACTTACCAACACAAAGCAATGTTATCAAAGGGTTACGAGCAACTTGAGAGTATTCATTAGTTGAAAATCCACAGGATTACCTTATCAACCATCTGCCGAAGAAACCTACTAAATCTAAAATTCTTTCTGGTAAGATATTCAGAATCTGCCAAATATGAAATAGTACTTAGATTCCAGAAGAGTTAGTGAGGTATCACTAATTCAACGACCACCTATTTCGTTTTCTACCAGGAGATTGAACTTCATCGAGTACTATTGTTTACTAAATCTACCAACGTTAGTAGGACATAAGCGTATTTTATGATTGTTCTAGTAAATTATAGTCCTATTATATTTTACTGACCCCTAAAGTGTCCTACTAAAGAAAAACACAAGGAGGTAAAATTCTTCGACTTAATTATCCTACACTAATATCATTTATATAAGCTTTCTTATTCCTATCATTTCTTTTTTAATTCAATTGTGTGTAAATTGCTAATGAATGTGTTCATGTGTAATAAAGATATGTTACCATAAAATTCAAAAAAGAAGTGATTGCATATCGGAATATCGAAAACAAGCATTGAAATAATAGTGATGATAGTAAATGTAGGGATTACCAAGTAAAAATTCTTTACATTTCGTGTAAGGAATTTAGTTACTGTAAACCGATGCAATACAAATAACTTAAAAGAATCCAAGGACTACTTAAAGGTCCTAATGATTTTTATATTTCCAAATTATTGATGATTGGTTTATTCTGGGTATATCGCTATCTAATCATAGATAAGACTAATATGCTTCTACTTGTTTTTTTTGGTACCTTACAATCTAATCCGTATTGTTGTGGAAGCTATTATCATATTAAATCAAAAACTGGTTTCAATTATGAGGTTAATATCCGTAGGGTAATTAGATTTATAGACTAACTTTAATAGAATAAATATTTCTGAGTAAGTTTGGTAGGAATTTTCACAACATGTTGATACCAATCGGACTGTTTACATACTCCACAAGTAGGCACAGGTTTGGGAACTACTATTTAATATCTAGATATTACATAAAAAACGTTTTTATTTTATTTGAGCGCATAAACATTGGCACAAAGGGACACCAAAATATAAACGCACCACAATAAAAATTAGATTGTGTTGAGTTATAAAAAAGGAAGGTGAATGTAATGGAAAAAAATGAAAATGAATAGAAATTAGTGTACGAAAGTGAATTAATAATAATAATAATAATAATAATAATAATAATAATAATAATAATAATAAGGGGAGAAGCAGTTCAGTTAAAAGAAGTATAACCAGGTAGGATTCTTTCGGTTATAGAAGTTCCCCTCACTTGGAGGGAATAAAAGAAAATTACAGCAGGACTACCACTAGCTTCTGTTCTAAGTAATATTTGATAATATCTCAAACCACTTGTCGCACTATATGACCTCAATTAGGGAGTCTTGAAGAACCGACAGATATCAGTCCTTTACAGCTTTCTTTCATACTACTGACTACCTCTGCTCTTTTTCTAACCAGTTTCAGCGTCGGCATATAATGCCTGACGTGTAATTCACTGGGGCGACATTTTTAGTACATGTTCAAGGCACCGAAGTTGATGTTTCAAAATGGTGACGTCAATCGAATGATCATCAACTTAATTCCAACTAATGACATCTTATCGTAACACTACACCAATCCCTATAAATAGTCAATAAAAGTTTTTTTAAGCAGGATAGTATCTTAATCAGTAAAACAATCATTGATTATAACTTTTCACAGACTCACATGTGTTTCGCCTAATAGAATCATTAAAAAACTACTTACTGTACTATTACAAACAGATCCCATATACAATGATTTCATTAAAATCAATCGTTGGTGAAGTTCGTCGTGAAGACCTTTTAGAAGAATGGGAAAAAAAGAAAGCTGTATTAGTAAGTTAATCTGCTTTATTTTAATTGCTTTTATTTATTTATTTGATCGAAAATGTTTCTTTGGTAACTAAAAAAGTAGATAGCAATTTTCACTTTTGTAGATTTTAGCTTTCAATTATGATGGTAAATTATCAGTTATATTAGTTATAATATGTTTTTATTGTTTCTGTCCTAATTTACTGCTTTCCCAGCTGACGTTGTGCACTGTGATAAGTGGCGATTACGCTTGTTTAACATGTTTCCCACCCACTTTAATCGATAAAGGCTTACACCTAGTATTCTACACTGACTATCGGCATCATTTATTCAATGGTTTCACCATAATTAAACAACGCTTTAGCGACATTTGACAGTCAACTCATTTCTCCTACTTTTAAAGTCAATTTATCACAAGAATAACGAATTACAGAGTGAATTGTCATCTAGCAGTCTCCATTCAATAAGCAAGTGTTTATCTTGCTGTTGACACAAATAAATTAAATAATGGACACCCAAATTGTAGTGGGAGAAATCAATTCAGCATGGACATGTATCAGTTGTCCATGTTCATAGTCCTTTTGCTGTCAGACATACTGAAGTTTGTAATCGTTGGTTTCTAGTAATCAAATTCGAAGTTATTTTAAAATCCAACTGGTTGAAGAAGCGTTAGAATTTACTAGTTTATAATAAAAGTTGTATGCCTATTATCATTTTCACTTCCATAAAAACTTATCCGGCTTCTTGATCACGATCATTATAATTCACTGATATATGTAATCTTTTACTGTCAATTTTAGCTTGGACAAGTTCCCAAAGTCGATACACCTGCTATTAAACGAAATAAACAAAAAGGTAGATCAAAACCTGGTCGAATCGAGGCAAAAAAGCAAAATATACACTTTGAACGTAAAATGTTTACTATCAAAGAAGTTTTAGGTGTACGGGAAGCGGAAGAGAAGTTACGACGAAAAGTTTCTTACAAAAAAATCAATGATATAAGCACATTACCGAGACCTAGTGAAGCTTTAGTAACAAAAAAGAAATTATCGAAAAGACGCACAAACACTGCTCTTGATGTGTTGATTCCACCAAAAGAATTTTAATTTTTAAATCTTAATTTCTTTATCGTTCTCTAACTAACTGTTTGTCTTCAAGTTCTTTTCTTAAATTTTCCACTAAACTTTTTAAAATCAACGAATCTACATTGCTTTATGTATAATTGTCAATGGTTGACAATTGTATTACTGTAATTTATTGAAATCATAATGTACAGTTTACATTTGATACAAATAAAAAAAGTATTAAGAGGTTATATATGTGTGTGTTGTCAATGTACCTCATTATCAGAATTTTATCAGCTTCCACAACGTCAGTTATATTTAGTTCTTTTTTCTTGTTGGGGCCGATACCTAGTTGAATCTCAGTTAGTATCAGTTCCATCATTTGTCCATGCCAATCTAGTACTAACACAATGCTCTTAAGAATGAACTTAGTTCTTTGTATCACTTTAAAACCTTCGGATTTAATGGAAATGTTATTACTAGAACCTCTCAAACTGGTTCTAGATCTCATGCTTAAGTCAAACCTCATATACTACTATTTAACGTTTGCAACTCACACGCTTATGTCACACGACATCCAGAGGTGACGCACATTCGTGGTGTTTTTAACTACATTTCTAATCAAATTATTTTTTGATGTGAAAAATATTAAGACAGGTTTTGGTAGAATTTGTTTGATTTATAAAGAGACTTGTTAAGTCACCGAAACACACAGGATCCTAGTGTGTTCATTCTAATTAAAACGAAAAGCCGACAAGATATACACTCCGTTTATCTGGCGACTGGGCAGCAAGTTCTCGTGCACTGGCGGGTAAAGGCATAGCACTAAGTATGAGGTCAGAAGAAGCCCTTTTAGAATGGATCCCTATCGACAGTCGCCTATGTGCTGTTCGGCTAAACAGATCCGCAAGAGTTCAGAAGGATAGGGATACACGTCGAGATGGCAGTGAGCAGGACTTACATGTCGGTAGCTGTATACGCGAGGCCATGTGAGAGCACTTCGAGAGAGAGGATTCTTCCCACCATTGACCGTACCAGGGTATTTGGGGCTTTGAATTCAAAGCAAACTTCTCAGTAGAATTTTCGTCATGGACTGAATTTAGCTGACAAGCTGTTGAAAATCCTGAAGCGCGAGATTACTGCTTGTTCTTAGCACTGATATGTTCGGAACACAAATCCTTGATACTGCCAATGGTGGAATTTAAAGAGTTGACTCTTGACTAGCGAGAACTCACGACTATTAAAATTCAATACTGTTGGATATGTGGCAGTTACGCACTAGTGGTATTGGGAAGAGTTTGGGTTGGAGTTAAACATACGAATTAGTGATTGCCAAGACAATGGTCTTATTTTCAAGCTTTTACTGTGAGATTTCAGATCCATGTGTTTGATCTCGTGCAAAGTTCAAATTGTGAGTCGCTGAGATGTCTAATTTTAGGACGAAACAACTTTCCACTCCTTCCTGATTTTCAGCTGTTATTTAAACAAGGTATTCCCGTCAAGCAAACTATAAAATTCAACAATTTCTACAAATCCCATAAACCCACTTAGACTGCTGAGTTGGAAGCCTACATCCTTAAATGTTGTCGATTTATAACCAAAACCATCCATCGTTATTGATCAATCTTCCTCAGATTAGATATGCTTTAACTCCATCACTTGGAACTTCTCATCAAAATTATAGAATGTTGTCTCTAATTCAGTCACTTACGGAAATATGATTATTATGTTCTATTTAATTTTGCTGAACATTATAATTTCGGAACTACAGAAGAACTTAATTGTTCCCAACAAAACTCAAATCACGCTTTAATGAAGTAAATCCTGATTATGTTATCGAGAAAGACAATGAAAGCTTCGCGTTTAAACCATTCAGCTCGGAGAAGAAAATACCTACAGATAAACTCATTCCATTTACTCTGATAAAGTCCTTTTCACTCTACTATCTATATACCACTGGTGAATTTGTGAATTTTATTGAGATAATTTAAAAATTCGCAACTTGACCAGACAATTGTATTGAGATTTTTAAAAAATCATCCCGTACTGAACGTTCAACTCTGCCTGTAGCTCTTCTAAAGTTACTGTCGGTCCAAACGCCCGGATAAAGCAGGAGAGTTTTGGATGGGGTTAGCGACCCCATCCCGTAGAAAGCTAGCTCTCTAAAGAAACGCTAACCAAAAAACATAATTGAAACCACTTAAACTCAACCCTGGGAGTCAGAAGGTCTTCATTTAGAACAACTATGACGCCTCATGGTGAAAGCCGAGTTCTTTCGGAAGTCACGAGGCCGATGCGACTTCTAACAACCAGATCAACCATTTAGTTAGTCAAAGTAATGTACATAAAATGTGTTCAGATCATTGGAATTGGTATGTTGTGGCAAGTTTATTTGTTACATCAGAATATTTATCTGACTTAGATTCTGTTGTTCAAATTGTGCTTGGATCAAATGATATGGTCAGGAATTGTGACAAGATAGAATCTTCTTTAGCCAAAAATTAATCTGAACCAATTAAATTCAACACTGCTTATCATAATAATTCATCTGACACATTTCTAACAAGCAGAGTAATTTACTGTTCATATTTCGGTAGAATTACGTTCTGTGAAGTGAATGTCTTCACTGTTAAACAACATAATCCGTTATTATATTTATCAACCCTCTCAAGTCATTTTAAGAAGTTCTTTTTCTACAGGCGAGACCTTCACATAATCTATATCTCCATATTCAGTTCTTCTTCAACAATTCATTTCAATAAGTCATTTTACTACTAAATATTTCATAGTATATCATTCCTTCATGTGAAAACATCTAGACAGTATTTGATCAGTAGTGTTCTTAAAAAACAATATCGAAAAAAGGAAATTTCAATATAGATTGAAAATGTAAAATAATTTTATGTAATCAGTATTCACAACTAGCCATCATGAATTTAATTCTTATTGTCAAGGCAACCTTAAACTAAAGAGATAATTACAAGAAAACAAATGCTCGGTGCAAAGTGAAAATATTTGTTGTTTAGATCTACAGTTATAATTCTTAGCTGTAGGTTAGTCACTATGCAAATGTTATATATATATATATATATATATGTAATGCAGTTGGCCATCCTACTTCTCCCAAGTCAAAAATTACAAACATACAACATTCATGCTTACATGCATGTTCATTGGTTTTACATCTTGTACACTAGTTATTCACTAAGTGAGAATTTAAGTTCCGCCATGGTCCAAGAATATTAACCGATACATATAAATCAATGAGTTTGTTCATTTCTCTTAATGAACTTAGCACAATGTACCATACCATATGAATTAGAGAGTTTAAATCAATTGGTGAAAAACTTTTAAACATGATGTTGAATCATATTTCTAAAATGGATCTAATAATTTAGTTTACCCCATTTAACAGATAGAGAACGCTGACTATTAAGTTTGCCATCTCATTATTATCAGTACTGTGATTTTACAGAAGGTTAATTACCATTAAAAACAGTAGCTCAGTAATGCCAATTAGCATTTTCATTTCATTTATTAGAGGCATTCAAATCTTAGGTTGGTTTTATAAATATCTCCAAAATTGATAAGTACTGCAAAAGAGTTGGAAGCAAATTTGAGGGTTCCCTAACAATTGAATTCAACTGTCAAATGAAGCTGAATCATTTTAAACAATTATTTAACACTAATTGCAGACGGTGATAAAAATAACTTGAAAAACTGACTGAAACCCAATTAATTTACACATATTTATTAATTTCACTTGCTCTTTTGTATGTCATAAAAATGACTTCACAAAACAAATTTGAAATTATTCAGCTGTAAGTGACTTGAAGAGCATCAAAAGAGATAATAGAAATGAATTTATGCCTAATTTGGCCACTTAACAAATATATATATATATATATATATATATATATATATATATATATATATATATATATATATATATATATATATATATATATATATAGATGGGGATGTTGTGTGAATGTGTATTGGGTGGATAATGGAAATCCAGTATATGTAACTTCAATGATTAGCTGATAGAGGGAGGTGATTTGATCAAAGTCAGTTTTGGAAATGGAAATAAAAACACTCATTACCGGTAACTGGTAAACCTCGTAATTGGTTACACAGAATTAATAAGTCAAATTGCTTGCATGTATTAAACACCGGTTTACTTTTTCGCATTTATTAGTTTATCTAGATTTTTTAAACTTACAAATTAGTAGTTGTGGTTTATTTAAACAAATAAACTGAAATCAACAACCTGTTAGGGGTCACTATTTTAAGTAAATCGACATTTCGTTTGAGATAAGTCAGTTGACAGTAGTCGACAGGAAATCCTTGAACTAGGTTTCATTGTAGTTAATATTCATGAATAAAGTGTATCTGCAATATTGACGGGATTGGTGATCCCAGTAGGATTTTCGATTCGTGTCATTCAACGTTAAATTTAAACACATTATCACTGAAGTAAATGAGATGCAATCGCACTTTTCTAGAACAAGGAGAATAAAGATAGCAAAATGTATGTATTGGAAATTATTTAAAACTAGATTATTCTGTCTGGATATTCATACAAAAATATCAAAGAGTTTATAGTGTTGCAAACTATCTTTTTTAATGGTAAGGCGGTTAAGCTGCAAATTGATATGGGTCTGACATAACATTAATTTATAGAGAGACTTGTATAAAACTCGGTCGACCTCAATACCAACCTGCACATTCTAATGCTAGGAGTGCGACAGGAACTAACATCACTCTTCTTGGAGAAATGAAGCTACCTCCCACATTCGGTGGCAAGACTATGACCGGCAAATGCTAAGCATCTGGAAACTGTGATATTAACTTATTAGGTATTGGTTGGATAGATAAATGTGGTTTGTGGGACCCGACGTTGAACACTGTCTGCAATATGATTAATTAGCTCAGCGAAGAGTTCTCTTTTCGGCGAATTCATTTTCAAAGCTGTACAATCGCAAATATCTATACTTATTTTACAGGATGATAATAATTCTGATAATAACCTTCTGTTAAGCATGGTGACAGTGAGGTTAAATAAACAAAGATATTAAAATAAAAAATTTTAAAAACAAAGAAAGTTTAATAATCGTTTGATTGTTATTGGCTTAGGTATTCATCAAAAGATAGATAAGGAAATTATTATTGGGAAAGGATGGCTCAGAATAATAAAATAAAATGTTGAAATAGAGATGAAATGTAATCGGAATGGTCGTGGAAATAAAAACAAACCAGTTGGGGGTAGAAGATTTAAAGGAAGATGGAAGGTGAAGCAGATGGCTGTAAAGAAACAAGAGTATGAAAAAGAGAGAAGAAAAATTTTAATACATTAAGACCATGGTAGAAGGAGAGGTTGTACCAGTCTCTTTTGCACACGCGATTCCGGTTTTTCCAGATGTATGGCTATTGCCTCGGCAATGCAAAGATGATGCAGTCTAGTTGTCTTCAGAAGACTTCTACTTACCTTGTAGATGACTTTGAACGCAGAGTCTGTCTTGATTGAGTGACCTGTGTTCA